GTTGTTAGAGGCTACAGCAGATCACTAATGTTCACTGACTGGTTGTTAGAGGCAGGGCCAGTGCAAGGAGTTTTGTCTACACAGACGAATGTGCATTTTGCTGCTCCCCACCCCACTATCCTCTCGCACATGGTTGAATTAAAATGAACATTGGGCATGGCTTAATACAACATAGATTCTGAGTAGCAACAATGAAGAAACCTGAGATTTAGCCCAAATTAAATTTACCAACTATACACACAGTCCTCCTTTCCGCTGCACACTGTCCTTCCCTACACACTGCGCATCCTCTGCACACTTCTCCCCTTTTCCTCTGCAAACATTGCCACCTGTCCACACTGCTCTCCTCTGCACAAATCCCCCCACTCCAGTCACCTGCACACATTGGCACCTACATCCCACCGGTACACATTGCCCCCTCTGTGTAAACACTGCCCATACACATTGCTCCCCTCCAAACATGCAGACATTGGGGGGGGGTGTAAATGCTAACTTTTCTTTTTAACAAAAAAATAACAAAAATGCACTTTTTTTGCAGGTAAAAAAACTTGTATTTACTGTTCTTGTTTTAGGAACCTGGAAAGCATTGCACCAGCTGATCACCTGTTGTCATGCAGCTCTCCTGCAGACTATCAGTGTAGGCTGTATGATGTATGGACAGGCAGTTTGACACTGACAGGAAGCTTCAATGAACTACCAGAGTGCTCAAAAGGTGACATCACACTTGTCTTCACCCCTGCAGAACATCACACCCTGTCTTCAGCCCTACAGAATATCACACCTGTCATCAGCCCTGCAGAACATCACACCTGTTGTCAGCCCTGCAGAACATCACACCTGTCTCCAGCCCTGCAGAACATCACACCTGTCTCCCCTCACCCTGACCTGCAAAACATCACACCTGTCTCCCCTCTCCCTACAGAACATCACACCTGTCTCCCCTCTTCCTGCCCAGCAGAACACTACACCTGTCTCCAGCCCTGCAGAACATCATACATGTCTTCAGCCCTGCAGAACATCACACCTGTCTCCCCCCTCTCTGCAGAACATCTCATGTCTCCAGCCCTGCACAACAAAACTTACACCTGTCTCTCCTCTCACTGACCTGCAGAACATCACACCTGTCTCCCCTCTCCCTACAGAACATCACACCTGTCTCCCCTCTTCCGTCCCAGCAGAACACTACACCTGTCTCCAGCACTGCAGAACATCATACATGTCTTCAGCCCTGCAGAACATCACACCTGTCTCCCCCCTCTCTGCAGAACATCACATGTCTCCAGCCCTGCAGAACATTACAAACCTGTCTCTCCTCTCACTGTTCTGCAGAACATCACACTTGTCTTCCTTCTCTCTGCCCTGAAGAACACCACACTATCTCCCCATTCCCTGTAGAACATCACACCTGTCTCCCCATTCCCTGCAGAACATCACACCTGTCTCCACACTCATTGCAGAACATCACACCTGTCTCCCCTCTCCTAACCCTGCAGAGAATCACATAGTTCTTTCCTCTCCCAACCCTGCAGAACATCACACCTGTCTTCACCCCTGCAGAACATCACATCTGTCTTCAGCCCTGCAGAACATCACACCTGTCTCTAGCCCTGCAGAACATCACACCTGTCTTCTCTCTCCTAGCCCTGCAGAGCATCATTCCTGTCTCCGTCCTCCCAGCCCTGCCTCCCCTCTCCCCAGCCCTGCAGAACATCACATGAGAGAAGAGATATTTTGCAGGGCTTGGAGAGGGGAGACAAAGCACTGTCAGTAAAATAAGGAACTTGCCACAGTTTTTATCTAGCTGCTGCCCCACACACCACCACCACCATGGAGCTCTTCAGACCTGCCTCCGCGTGGCTGAAAAAACTCTCAGTCGTAGCTCTGTTCTTCAGCAGTTCTACCACCTTCTCCACCCGCAGGGCAAGTTAGGAGATGCAGCAAACCAAGAGGAAGGGACAAGGCTGAGTCCAGAGCAGGACAGTCAGAGCAGAGAATCTGGCTTTCCTCCACCTTTTCAGCCTGATCCCCCCCACATGCACTCTCTGTAGCAGGATGCCGGGGTTTTGCCCCCACCCATCACTGCCCCAGACGTTCCCGAAGCGGCAGCTGCTTTGGGCCCCACAACAATGACAGAGCCCATGCCCCTTTGCCCCCTGTTAAAGACGGCCCTGCATGTCAGCTGACATTTTTATTATGCTGTGCACTGTTTTAACTGTTCACACGCACCTTTTCAAATACTGTACGTAAACATTAATATCAAACGGCTGTTTTATGACCAAACATTTTGTATACTGAATAGTGCATGTCAACTTTTCTCTTGCTTCAAATACAATAAAAACACTGAACAAGAAAGAAAACATTTAAGAAAAAGCTGTAAAATAACCCAAATGGTTTTTTTTTGCTTGTTTACCTATTTGTCAATTTATAATAAAAACACAAGCAGGAAATATATAAAACAGTATACCAAATATTATGACATTAAAAATATGTATATAAAATGATTTGAGTGAGCAAAAAGTCATAGAATTATTGTCAGGTTAACCCATATATACTGATGCTGCAACAAAAATGTTTTAGCACCTAGATGTCAATGATACTAGCCATTAAAAGGGTTGAATATTTTTCCCTCCAGGACCAAAAATACAACTTGTTGTGTGATAACCTTAAAGTGGACAAAGCCTATACAGTAATATGGTTCAATAATAATTTGTGTACAATGTAATCATATTCCTCTTCTCTAGCATGAATAATTTCACTTTATCTAATCTTTCCTCTTGTCACAGATCAGCTGAAGAGCTGATCTGTCACCTGATCTGGTGGTTTGTCCTTACCTCCTTGCTGCTGTTGTTCTGCTGGTACCTGAGGTTTTACTAGCATGCACACCATTTCCTGCCTCACCTTCTGCGCTGGACAGCACAGTGGCTAAGTGATTAGCACTTCAGCCTGGCAGTACAGGATCATTGGTTCAATTCCCAACCACGGCACTACCTGCATGAAGTTTGCATGTTTTCACTGTGACTGTGTGGGTTAATTCTGAGTACTCTGGCTTCCTCCCACACTTTAAAGACATGCTAGTAGGTTAATTGTCTTAGTATATGTATCTATGAGGGTGAGTTACGGACCTTAGATTGTAAGCTCCTTGAGGGCAGGAACTGATGTAAATGTAATACGTATGTAAACCCCTGTGTAAATTGACAGCACTCTATAAGTACCTGAAATAAATATACCTTCCTCCATGACCATTTCCGGGCCAAATCTTAGTTATTTAAGTCAAGCTCAGATCAGCTCCCATCGCCTGAGCAATAGGGTATACCTAGCCCTAGGCTCCCTGTTCCTAGTTCCTGACCTCCTGTGACCATATTATTTTCTGCAAATCTTGTGACTTCTGTGTGTCTGGTTCCTCAAATCCTCAGTGCACCTATCCCTCCCCTGGTTGTTACTGTGTAGCAACCTCTTCTCCATCTCACCCTGGATTTAATTGTTTTCCTCCTGGCCTAACCTCTGGCCTAGTTCTTGAAACTTCTTATCATCTCTGCCCATTTCAACTCCACCAGTCATCCTGTTCCACTTCTGTACCCTTGCAGCATGCCCTGGCAGCTTCTGATTTTCAGACGTTCACCTTGAGTTGTTGGTGACACTTCAGTTTGAGAGGATACACACATAGCCAGAGGACCTTTTGTACAAATTGACAGTACTCTACCTGAGTTCAAAGTGCTGAGTACTGTTCTGTAGGGGAAGTTGAAGAGCTCAGGACTTAGGAAGCCATCTCCTCCTTGCAGGTCTTTCACTTTCCTGATTGCATATTACGGTTATGATCAAGCTCTTGCTGTGCTAATATACATTTCTGCAGAGGAGCTGGAGCTTGGTCTTATCTGAATGTACCAGAATGCTGTAGCACCCCTGTTTACCTCAAGCAGAAAATAACTCTTCCTATCAATCCACTTCACCATTGTGCAATACCCCATATGAGAATGGACTCCCACCAGATACTCAGACCCTTTCTTCTCAGTGGGTCATATCAGGCATAAAGTAATGATACGTAGCTCCTGGGCACCTAACTCCTTTCAAATTTACTATCCAAACCAATCCACTATTTCAAATCCACTGTCCAAACCAATCCACCATTATAAATCCACAATCCAAACCATTTCGCCATTACAAATCCACTACTTTAACCAATCCACTATTTCAAATCTACTATCCAGAGCTGTTGTACATTACTTCCATGTAAGCATATTTTTATTTTTGTAATCTCTTTGCAATAATTACTACACTATGTGTTTGGTCTTTTTTATAACATTTCCTGGGATGTTGGATGTTTAGAAGGTGGACCTGAGAGAAGGGGAATTACATAAGGGGTTATTCCAGCTGCTGGGGGTTGTTGTGTATATAATTTGTGGTAAGGGGTTATTGGGATTCACCTGCGTGCTGGATGGATGCTAGTTTTTTTACCATGGGATATGTAATGAAATACTTCTAGGGTGAAAAGTCAGCACCAAGGATGAAGATCTACTCTTTAACCACTAGCCTACAGGGCACTTATACCCCTTCCTGCCCAGGCCAATTTTCAGCTTTCAGCGCTGTTGCACTTTGAATGACAACTGTGCGGTCATGCAACACTGTACCCATATAAAAATTTTATAATTTTTTTGTAACAGATAGAGATTTATTTTGGTGATGTTTAATCACTTCTGGGTTTTTTATTTTTTCTTAAACAAAAACCAAAAACAACTGAAAATTTTGAAAAAAAAACATTTTTCTTAGTTTGTGTTATAAAATTTTGTAAATAAGTGATTTTTCTCCTTCACTGATGTGCACTAATGAGGCTGCACTGATGGGCACTGATAGGCTGCACTGATGGACACTGATAGGTGGCACTGATGGGCACTGATGAGGAGGCACTGGTAGGTGGCTCTGATGGGTGGCACTGATGGGCATTGACAGGCATCACTTATGGGCACAGAAAGGCGGCACTGATAGGGTGGCACTGATAGGGTGGCACTGATAGGGTGGCACTGACTGGCACTGTTATGCGGCACTGATAGGCAGCACTGAAGGGCACTAGTGCACACTGATAGGCGGCACTGACTGGCACTGATAGGCGGCACTGAATAGCAGCACTGATAGGTGGCACTGACTGGCATTGATAGGTGGCACTGACTGGCACTGATGGGTGACACTGAAAGGCAGCTCAGATGGGCACTGATATGTGGAATTGATGTGGCACTGATGGGCACTAAAATGTGGCACCGATGTGGCACTGATGGGCACTGGCAGGTGATATGGATGAGCACTGAGAGCTGGCACTGATGGACACTAACAGGTGGCGCTGCTGGGGCTACACAGATCATCAGGGCACACTGATCATCAGTGCTCTGATGATCTGTGTACATGTCCCTTCTGAGGAATGCCGATTACCGGCTCTCCTCACGAGCTGTCAGCGTGACAGCTCGAGAGGAGAGAAATGTCGATAACTGTCATTTCCCTGTTTACATTTGATGAGCTGTGATTGGACACATGACCGAGCCGACATCTTTGGCTCTTTCTGTGGATCGGTGATCCACTGTGTCCCTCGCACTGCCGATCGCCACACTGCGCGCTCTGGGAGACACGCATGAGCGGTTAGAATGGGAGGACGTCATATGACGTCCTCCCAGAACGAGAGAACCACCTTGTGTCCGTCACATTACTATATGGCGGGCGGGAGGCGGTTAAACATCAGTTTATTCCATATATGGCTGAAATCCAGCCTGACAAGCTTATGTGTTTCCATCCCCTGGTAATCATAACTATTCATCAGGTTTACATTTGCACATTAAATACTTCAGCTCCCTGGACATACAGTATGTAGTACGTCCAGAGAGTAAATAAACTCCTTGCTATAAAGTAAGAGTGATCTGCGCAGCTGTATTACAACCACATACAGCTGCAAAACACACAAATAAGACAGAAACCTGTGAGGAGAAGAACCCCTGGATTCTGTTAGTGGTGAGTCAGAAATATGGACTTGGCTTTAAAGCTGAACTCTAGGTAAACAGCTAAATACACATATTAAAAACATATAATATGCACAGTGTGTACAAAGATTTGTATTTCTGTCCTTCCGGTTCTCGGATTTTAACAGTTCTGCCACCCCAAAAAGCCCTGTCTGGCATGGCAGGAGACCCGATTTTTTCTGCTGCAGTTCAGCAACACAAACTCACAAATCTACAAAACAACCAAATGCAAGAGTAGCATGTCACCAGCAAATTGTTCAAGATTTTCTTGCCAGCCAGTAGTGATATATAAGGAAACTAAATCACATCTCTGTCAGGAGCCACAGGACAGAAAAAATTGGTACCATAACCTTTCAATTCAATAAGTGATGCTTGGGGCAAACTAGGGAATCTTAGACAAAGCCAAGTGATATTGCTGATACATATAAGGCTATCCCTTATTCTTACGGTGCTAAATCAGTTAACTTTAAAAAAATGTGTATAAAGATATATACAATTTAAAAAAATATTAAAATACCATCTAAACCAAATGAGTGGATGTCAGCACTTAAAATCTAATATACACTCCTCAGTGGATGAATCTACACCCTATAGTGCAATGAGATCCCAATTATAGGATTAAATATATTATCTTTTCAATAAACATAAAATAACAGGTGTACAAATAATTCAGAGAATAACAGTATATTAAAACGTTCCAAAAGCCAGTGTGAAAATATACAAAGTAACTGTCCAAGTGTAGCTAATATATTACAAAGTGTCCATTTGTCCATTTAGCCAAACACACACCACAGAATCTTTAACTCTTTATGTATAAGCCTCAGTCTATCTTCAGATGTTTGTATTCACCACCAATTTACCGTCATCACCAATTTAAGGATTTACAATCACCACATTTTATTGCCCAAAACATGTTAATTTGGGCTCAAACAGAATGAAATACCAAATTAACATATTTAATAGTTCCACTATCCCATATAAAAGGTAAATAAAAAGCTTACTGGCTCTTGGTTTATTATTCTATATAAAATGTATATTTTATATGGCACAGTAAGGTAAATAGGTAGACGTTTGGTAAAACAGACAAAAAAGGCAATCCAGTGTCACATGGTATTATGTAGACTGGGGAAATCACCTGATACTGTATGGCGGATGTGTTTGTTGAAAAAGGCTCTTGCCTAACGTCCAGTCAATTAGTTCTAAACTCTCTACAGGTGAAATTTCTAAAAATTAGAATATCGTGCAAAAGTTCATTTATTTCAGTAATGCAACTTAAAAGGTGAAACTAATATATGAGATAGACTCATTACATGCAAAGCAAGATAGGTCAAGCCGTGATTTTTCATAATTGTGATGATTATGGCTTACAGCTCATGAAAACCCCAAATCCACAATCTCAGAAAATATAGAATATTACATACAATCAATAAAACAAGGATTGTACATAGAACAATATCGGACCTCTGAAAAGTAGAAGCATGCATATGTACTCAGTACTTGGTTTGGGCCCCTTTTGCAGTAATTACTGCCTCAATGCTGCGTGGCATGGAAGCTATCAGCCTGTGGCTCTGCTAAGGTGTCATGGAAGACCAGGATGCTTCAATAGTGGCCTTCAGCTCTTCTGCATTGTTCGGTCTCATGTCTCTCATCTTTCTCTTGGCAATGCCCCATAGATTCTCTATGGGGTTCAGGTCAGGTGAGTTTGCTGGCCAATCAAGTACAGTAATCCCACGGTCATTGAACCAGGTTTTGGTGCTTTTGGCAGTGTGTGCAGGTGCCAAGTCCTGCTGGAAAATGAAGTCAGCATCCCCATAAAGCTCGTCTGCGGAATTAAGCATGAAGTGCTCCAAAATCTCCTGGTAGATGGCTGCGTTGACCCTGGACTTAATGAAGCACAGTGGACCAACACCAGCAGATGACATGGATCCCCAAATCAACACACGACTGGGGAAACTTCACACTGGACTTCAAGCATCTTGCAGTGTGTGCCTCTCCATTCTTCCTCCATACTCTGGGTCCTTGTTTTCCAAATGAGATGCAAAAGTTGCTCTCATCAGAAAAGAGGACCAGGTCTGTTTTTCTTTAACCCGGGTAAGATACTTCTGACATTGTTTGTTGTTCAGGAGGAATACGACATTTGAAGCCCATGTCCAGGATCCGTCTGTGTGTGGTGGCTCTTGATGCACTGACTCCAGCCTCAGTCCACTCCTTGAGAAAGTCCCCAATACTTTTGAATGGCCATTTCCTGACAATCCTCTCCAGGCTGTAGTCATCCCTGCTCCTTGTGCACCTTTTTCTTCCACACTTTTCCCTTTCACATAACTTTCTATTAATGTGCTTTGATACAGCACTTTGGGAACATCCAACTTCTTTTGCAATTACCTTTTGAGGCTTTCCCTCCTTATGGAGGGTTGTCAATGATGGTTTTCTGCACAACTGTCAGGTCAGCAGTCTTTCCCATGATTGTGATTCCTACTGAACCAGACTGAGAGACCATTTAAAGGCTCAGGAACACTTTGCAGGTGTTATGGCTTAATTAGCTGATTAGAGTGGGACACTTTGAGCCGAGAATATTGCACCTTTTCACAATATTCTAATTTTCTGAGATTGTGGATTTGAGGTTTTCATGAGCTGTAAGCCATAATCATCACAATTATGACAAATCAAGGCTTGAACTATCTTGCTTTGCATGTAATGAGTCTATCACATATATTAGTTGTGCACAAGTGGGCTCGCTCAGAGTTATGCTTCAGCGACAAATTTTATTTTGTTATACACATAGAGTTCTACATTAAAGTTTGTTTGCTTATGCTATGCTCTCATGGGAAAATTGAGATAACATGTATTTCCAAACATACAGCCCCGAATGACCTTGGCTGCTAGGGAGCCAATTGACACGTGAACTAACCTTATCTCATAACAATGTAAAAGTTCTTTTCAATCTTAGAATAAACCTAGAATATTGTCAGACCACCTTCAAAAGTGTGGTTTCTCCCTGTGCACACAGTTTTGGATATAATTTGGTTATATCTTTAATTTTGTATATAGCAGACAGCTTCTAACATTATCAATAGAAAAGATGATAGTGATTGCGTATTTTCCTGAGTGCAAATGCAAAAATCAATACAGTCTTCACTTAAAGTGACTTACTGTAGGATAAGTTAGTATAAATCCTCACAATTTCTTGAAAATATGATAAAACCTTGTGTTGGTGATCTGGGTGAAACTATGCTTTGGTCCAAACAGGTTGTAAAAATAAACATGACACTGTAAAAAAAAAAAAAGACACTTGCTTTGTGCAGCTGAGCTTTTGAATAAACTTATTTTTAGACTTAAATGCCCTGTTTATTTAGCTTTACAGCTTGATGAGGGCACCAATGTTAGTGATCGAGCTGTAATGTTAGTTTTCATGCAAAATCTGTATAGTTGGGACCTTCCTGAAGTCATTTTGACCTGTGACAATTTAAACAAAACAACTGAGTCATCTTTGACAAAATAGACTAGAAGCAAAGCTTTGATACTTACTAATGATGTTCAGGGCAATCCAGGATCAAAATGCTGGAGTTAGATAAGGCAAAGCATAGGCATTTAACTTTCCTCATCCCAGGCAGCATACACTCATATTTCCTTCATGTCAGTCATCAGGAACAAGGGAAGAATGTTCTGCGTAAGTTTCAAACTAGCATGTTGAAGCTTGCACAAGCCTTAGGATCCTGGGTAAGTTATAAACAATCTTGTCATAGTGTACACAAGCCTGAGTATCCTCTTCAATCCCCCATGTGACAGTGCTGGGGCAGTCATAAGGCATCTTCTGGCACCTGGGAAGGATTCAAAATGAGGCACACAGCTGGAGCCAGAGGTTCTACCATGTGTCTTCTCTGATGATTACAGCACAGTCACCTGTACCCTCTCCTCCTTACTGGCCTGATCCTTGAACTCCTTAGAACCAGTAGCTCCACAATGTTTCTAAAGCTGGACCTCAGCTACCAAACGTCCACATTCCATGTTGCACCACAAATTTTGCTGCCTAGCGCTCCAGCGATGTAAAGGTGCCATACAATGTTTTTGCAGCTGGACCTCAGCTGCCAAACGTCGGATGTTTGCAGGCAAGGAAAGTTCTGCTTTGTGCCTCAAAGTCTGGGGCCTATTCCAGTGCTACAGCACTCAAAAATATCTTTGGCTTTTGTCTCTCACATAATACACACAAGTTGAGCTGCATAGACTTCTGTCTCTTTTCAGCCTAATAAACTATGTAACAATCTATGTTTAATTCAAGATAACCCCTACCTCATCTCTCACTTTCAGACCTACCATGCTGCTTATATGCTGTCCAGTCACAGTACAGTATTAGTAGCTGTAGAGCTTTTGTTGCTCAAATATGCTCCAATGCTTATTTCAAGCTAAAACCTGACTCCTCTTTCTATGTATTATTGCAAAAGAAAAAAAATCAAAGCTGGTTACATATTGTACAGCCACAGCAAAACTAAGGGGGAAGGGGAGCATGTGCCCGGGTGCAGCATTGAGAGGGACTCCACAGCTGGTACTGATCTTCCTGCAGCAACTGAAACCCCTCCCACCAGGAAAAATACAGGGATGGGTGGCAGTAAATGCCACCCCAGCTGTCACTCTTGTCCATGCCCCTTATTC